GGGGGGGGGGCTAGGGAGGAAGAAAGAGACAATGGGTTTATAGCGAAAGCGTTGCCAATTGGTTCAGAATGTTGAGCAAAATGTAATTATTCATTCTTAAAAGTCCTTAATATTACTAATATTTTATTTTTTATTATTGCTTTGCAAATAATAGCATATTCCTGTGAAGTTGAGCGACACCAAAGAGCTGCGCTAGAATATTACCGAAAAGAACTTAGCAACGCGAAAAATGCATATTGGCAGGGGTCTTCGAGGTCCTTATGCCTTCCTGTGTTGTGCCCCATATGCAGCACTAAAGATTCTCTCATAAAACTTTCCTAATGCACCCGGAACATTAACTATGGAACCACAAAAATGTGCACCATAATGATTGTTTCACCACTACGTTCCTTTTTTAAAATCATTTCTTTTTCAGAAACAATCGAAATTTATGAAGACCTTGTACCATGGCTAATGTCTTCAATACCTTCAGCTTCAACAAATGGGCCGATTCGAAGAAGGAGGAGGAGCTTGAAAAGGAAAGCAAAAAGCGAAGAACTGCGCAGGTTTGCCCTTTCTAGCTCTAAATGGCTGAGGGTTTAAAAGGATTTTTTTGGACTTTTGCACTTTTCATTTCTTAGAAAAAATCTAATCATTAAAGTGGATTGATTTCATGTCATTCAAAGTTTTAGAACATTTCAAATAGAATTGAAAATTCTGAAGATTATTTAGTATTTCACCCAGTCACCAGAGTATTTTATTTACCTTTAGTCGAGCCCTCTCTTTTTGAGTTGCAATCAAATGTGTTTTATAGATCAAGCGTCTAAAAGAACGTCTGCGTCGCGAACGAGAACTCCGCGAAAATAATGTCGGCAATGGAGATTTAGACTTGGAAGCTCTTATTGAGGCGTTACAGCGTGGAGAGGAAATAAATGCTGGTCAGTTTACACTTTTCTGAAGAGTTTATTTAGTTAGTAGCCGGACTTGTGACAATGTCACTGGAAAACATTAAGGACCTGTTGAGGATCGTCAAGAAACAGTCAACGTCGCGACTATTAAGAATGAAGTTTGAATAACACCTTCGAGTTTTCGCGTAACATATTTGCATATTCGTAAAACGCATTATCGATTTTTCGAATGGTCGAATATTCAAGAAGCTGCATTAGTTCGCTTATTCGAAAAGAATTCTTAGAAACATTGGCATTTGAATTGAGTTTGAATAGATTTAGAAATGAGATTTGGTTTTCGATCGTTCGAATGTCTCCAAAATCATTGGATATTTGTTCATTCGAATGTCCGCGAAATCACCGAGTATTGCGATCGTGTAATCATGTGTTAATAAAACGCTCAAATAATCCGAATCTGCGCCGAGTAGTCTCGAAAAAACATACTCATTCCATTGAAAATTCGACTGTTCGATCATGCACAATTATTCAATGATTCGAAAGTTGAATAGGACCCCTGCTATTCGAATACTCGGATTCAAAAATATTTTAAATGTTGATTCGAATATTATTTATCCGTTCTATCTTTACAGGAACGAAAAGTAATCGTTCAATCAAAAAATTTTGAATATTTTAGCTATAATAGAGACTCGCTTTCCGAAGCCTTTTTTAGATGTACCAGAGCAACAACCAAGGGAGCATCACCCAACCAGCTATGGAGGTGATTTGATTTATCATAAATTCGAATGAGTTTAGGATACTTTCATCTGCGTAGGAAAAAAAACTTTGTGTATTTCTAGTTTTCAAGCAGCAATCCTCATTTTTTTCAGCTATGGACGATGACGACATTTTGGAGGAAATCCGTATTTTTCAACAAAATCATCCTTTCGCCTCACCGATGCCTGCTCCTGAACCAGGTTAGCCTAGTTGCCTGCATATGGCTGAACAACGACATCTTACTGTCGCCCGATAGATCCTTGCTGAGCAATGCGAAGAAAAGTGCGCAATAAAAGTTTTTTTTTACTGAGGGTTTTGTCGCATCGAACTTTGACTGGAATAACTATCAGTGCTTGAATGTTCTTTAACGTGAATTTCATATCCTTTTATTCAAGATATGTTTTTACTCATTGACCTTCTTTTCAATATTTAACCCATTTCTCTTCCATTGAAATACCAATAAGGTAGGCTGAAATCTTATATCCCACATATTAGATCTCTGCAGGAGTTTTTTTT